TGACTTGTGGAGGGGAAGAAAGAACCAGGGACTGAAGGCAGGGAGATACCTGCTTCCCCTGCTGCTAAATTAAGGGCTTTACATCATTGCTCAAAATGCCATTTGGTGGCACCTGCAGGGAAGCAGGTGAGAGGCTTAGCTCCTTTACCAGGGGACACCTTCCCCAGTAGGTGCCAGGACCCTACAGGCCCTAGCACACCCTGCTGGCTCCTTCCCCCTGTTCATGCAGCTGAAGCCTGCAGCTGCCAGGACCCTAGAACCTCACCTGCCTTCACCACTTGGGTTTGGACACTAGTCAGAGCCTGTAGTGGCCCAGGTTACAAACCCTACTAGGTACACTTCTGTTTAAACCCACTTTGTTCAGGATTTCTTCCAGTTTCCTCTCTCATAATCTCTCTGCTCTTTTTCCTATCAGAAATATTAGCTTCTTGGAGCAGGAAATGTGTCATATTCATTGGCACGGCCTTTTGGGAAGAGCTGGTATAATATGAATTAGTGACAGCTCTAATAATTCACATTCAGATGATGTCATTTACTTAGGTAATGTTAAATACCTGATGGTAGCATGAAATACATGGGAATAGTAACTCTGAGAGAAGTCACAGTGTGCTGTGTTTTATCCTAGTCTCGTGAATACCATAATACATGTCCAGAGCGTCTCTTACTTTGCACAAACCACAGCTACCGATTGTGCATTTGTGAAGAGAAGCAATGCACTTGAAACTGGTAATTAGGACTCATGGCATGCTTAGAAATGGAAACCCCTCCCCTCCTCAAAAAACACAGTGCTTTACTTCCAGCCCAGTGTGCCCCAGTGCCTGCCCGGAAGAGGAATCATGTCAGTTTGACCTGGCTTGCCCAGCATCTGTACAGCTCCCATGGTTCAGCAGGGCTCTTTGGCACTTTTATCTAATAGCTGTGTAACCCTTATGCCGGGCACCAGTTGGCAGCAAAAAGGGCCAGGTTCACATTTTGGGGTACCCCATAAATTATAAGGGTGGCTTGAGCCTCCACCTAGAAATCTGGGAACAATAAATTTGCTGGGGCATCCTGTATAAACAAACCCCCCTCCTTGCAAGCAGTGTAAACACAAAAACTGAAATTTATTGCAAAAAATAAAAACAAAAGAAACACTAAATATATTTTAAAAACACTATTAACTACAAAGCAAAGTCTATAGGTGGCACCTTCTTGGGGGAGGCTTCACTCATACGCAGGCAGTCTGGGACTTGGGACTCCCCAACAGGGGTACTTCCGGGGGCCTACACCCCTGTACCTGCCCTTCAGCAATGGGCTGGAGAGGGGGCCACACGCCAGAAAGACCTGAGCTGCTCCTTGGGTTCACTGTGCCATGGGGAGCTGCTTGAGATCATGGGCCCTTCTATGTTGCAAGGCTCTATTGCTCCTGGAGACGTGGTAAAGCCCCAACCTCCACCTCCACATGGGGGATTTGAGGGGTTAACTACAGCTTTCATCAGCATACTGCACCCCGCAATTCCTAGTCCTAATCCCAGCTTTGCTGGGCAGAAAACTACAAAATGACTCAAAGGAAAGGTCAGGCCTATCTTGGCTTGGGCCTGAACTACAACTAGCACCCAACCACACCGTTTCATTGGGACAAACTACAAAAGGGATAAAAGGAGGCCCAGGCCTATTTCACTGGGCCTGAACTAGCCAGCAAAAGCTGGCCAGGCGTATATGTACTGCACTGAAACCTGGATAAACAGCAAGTAGTGCCAGGTCTCACCCTGGCCTAAATCTGCCAGCCAGACTTATGGCTGAGGTTAAGCCCCACAGCTAGGCTGAAACACAAGAGCTGTCAAACAGCAAACAGAGGCCAGACCTATGGCTGCAGCCTGGACATCTAGTCTCTGCTACACCACTGTCCTGAGACAATACAGTTACAAAACAGAGAGGGCCAGGCCCATGTGGCCAGTAACTGCCAGGGCCCCATTACTGATCATTTTGCTCCAGGGATTAATACCCCCAATGCTATTAATATCCCACTCAAAAAAGGCGGCCGGGGGGGGAGGGAAGGGAGGAAATAGGGGTCTCAAACTCTGAGAGAGACTTTCTCTGTCTGTACCTGAGGCTTTCCCTTCACTTAGGCTTCACTCGCCTCTCCAGTGAAGGGACGGGGGGGAGCCCCCCATGGGGAAAGTTTTTCCTGCTCCCCATTCAGCTGTGCAGCTCTTAGCAGCCCCAGGAGAAAGAGAAAAACTTCAGCTGGGTTGTTTTTATATACCTGGTATGACATCACTCACGCCTTGTCCAATTAGGGAGTGCCATGCTCCAGCCTCTCTGTCATTCAACCTGCCTGGAGAATTTTCTGCTTCCTCTGGCCAACGAGGAGAGAGGAGTTTACGTGTTTTGCCCAGATACAGGCCCCAGTTTTCCATGTGTGGAGCACATGGCCAGAACAACAGGGGCCATCTTGCCCATGTAAAAACACAGACACCTAAAAATATGATACACAACAACCAAAACCACATGCTTTACCATACGCCACCCAAGTGTGTGTGGATGTTACAGCTAATTCAATACAGCTATTAGATACAAGTGCCTAAAAACCCCACTGAAATGTGTGAGCTATACAGATACTGGGGAGCCGGGTCAAGCTGATGCAATTTCTCTTCCAGTAAAGTGCTGCTATTCTTCCCCAACCCCGTCATGGTTGTCAGCACCTCATGGTAGTTTTGCTCACTCACTGTTTTATCTTGGACAAGTCAAAGACTCCGTGGGCGCCTATACACATACAGCAAGACTGCTCTGACATGCTGTAATTACAGCGCGTCGGAGCAGGCTTGATTGAGTCTGCTGAAGCATGGTAATTACTGTGCTCCAGTAGACTCCAGCATCACATGTATCAGTGTCCCTGTGCTGAAAAATGGTGGCAGGGGCCCTTTAACTAAAGCTTGTTTGAGCCCACTGCCATTTTTCAGTGCAGGGACACTGATACAAACCATGTTCTGGGGCTTTAATTAGAGTGGCTCTCAGAGCGCCTCCCCCACCTCGCAGAGCACGTGTATAAAAGCCCCTTGTGCCTCATTCTCCTTGTCTAGAAAAAAAGGAGTGAGCTTAAAGCACTCTGTGATCCTTTCATAGTATGTGTCACTATTAATGATTCAGAAATAGTATAAAGAGGAGACTGGACTGTTTCTCTCCCTGGCTTGGCCAGTACAGAATGGGTATGTACCTACTAGTGTAATTGTACTCTAGATGCTTCCTGTGAGTATTGGTTACTCTCTAATAAACCTACCATTTTTTTCCACTGGTACCTGGCAACGAGGACATGGTTTTGTTGTTTTTTGGATTGTTTCTCTGGATGCCTTTTCCCACCGTGCTCGCATGGCTGCGTGCTCATTGACCACATATCCCTGGAAAGAGAATCAACTATTAGTACCATACAGCTAGGTTCCACTACAGCTTCAGGTGCCTTTTGGGTGTAAAGGAATAAGTGTAGCTATTTACTAAAGTGACACAGACACAGGAGGCTGAAATTTGATTGAACTGAATTTGCATTACAAACTGGTAAAATCCTGACTCCAATGCTCTGTAAGTTAACCCATTTGGGTTGAAAAACAAAAACCAAGACAATGCAGCACTGTTCTGTGATGCACAGTACAGTCTCAGAGTGGAAGAAACTCAGTTCCCAAGAAGAAAACTGTTTTTTTGGACTTTGCAAAATAAGGCATCTTTTATTTTAGAGACTTTGGTTCAACAAATGTAATTTTTAGTTGCCTACAGAAGCTAGCCCAATAAGCAATAGAGATCAGGCAAAAAAATACTGGACAAGTAAAAACTGGTGAATTATGAAGCCAGAAAATATCTCCCCAGCCAGTATACTTCTAATAGCAAGAGACATCATGGAGAATGTGCATTAGAAGTGATTTGTGTATTTGTCCTATTTATGAGGAGTATAAAATTACATAATCTACATACACCCTACCTCTTACCTAGGATGACACTGCAAGAATTAATGTCCTTGAGTATGTCTGATAGCAGTTTGAAAAATATATGGATAGAAGTTGGAAACAATTCAGTTAGATACCAACCTTGATCCTCTGTATACGGTCAAACTATCGCTTCTCAAATGTCTAAGCAAATGAACTACTTAAACTAAGCGTATCACTCTGAATAAATCTCATCCTTTGTGTTTACAAGTTTCAAGTAGTTGTAGGCAGTTACTTTCCCATTAGCTGTCATTCATTTCCCATCAGCTTCACATTCAAACAGCACGCCTGGGAGCAAAAAACTCTCGGGCAATAAGCTCTGGAGTTTATTCATGCATGTTAATTGCATGTGTAGACACACCCACTGAAAACAATATAAGCCACAAACTATATTACCTAATACTGTGAAATAGCCTAATAAAACAAAGTGCCATTACAATTCTTACAATTCATTGGTTATTTTTTCTCTATAATCAACTTACTTGCATTTGATGTGTTTATCACAAACCATAATCTTTCAGTTTCAGTTTTTATGTTATTAAGTTGAGCCAGAAAAGATTAAATCATAAACAAGAATAGTGTAAAGTTATTGCATTTTCCTTCTTCCTCCTTGTTCAGGAACATCTGTTGCCAACAAATGGATGCCCTTTTTATTAGATTCCAAAGCAAATTCAGTGGTAACAATACACATCAGAAACTCCATTTTGAAATGGTGTTAAACTCTACAGCTCCTTGATACTAGTGCAAATGCTCTGTGTGTGTGTGTGTGCGTGCGAAAACACACACACACACACACAGAGGAGATTGACAGAAAGAGGGAGAACACAACTAAAGGGGCTAGCAGATGATAGGTCTTTATACTAAATTGCCTTTAATACATAGTAAAAGCAGAGCAAATGTATGATGTGGATCTAACACATGACTCTACTTAGGGTAAAGTTACTCCTTTGGGGTGGGTCCAGATGGGGTGCAGAGATGTGGGCACACTCGCTTTAACTACGTGCCATGTGTACAATGAGTTCTCAGAGATCACTGGCATGACGTCGGCAGAGCTCTTGCTGGAAGCTCTGCATGTACTGTGAGCTCACTGTCTACGTGGCACATGAATGGACTTCACTTCCAGGTTCTTGTACTGAGGGATGTTTATATGAAAAGGGGTCTCCTCTGAAACAAAGCATTTTTGGAAAGACCTGAAGTTGGTGTAAAATCAGCATGGCTCCATTTGAATGAATGGAGTTATACTGATACATTTCAGCTAAAGATTTGGCTTAGAAAATGTAATTTCCCTTGAGGCATCAGGTAGAATGGATGCCTTAAGGGGTGCTGTTTTAAGGGGCTAGGAGCACACTCTACGCAGCGTACTATTGTGATGAACCTTTTGAGTCTTGCATATGGGTTCCATCTTCCAATGTAATTAGGAAAGCCATTAGGAAAGACCTGCATAACTAGGCCTTATATTGACAATGCAAGTCCTCTTGGCTCAGGAAAATAAAGGTCTTAAAGGCCAGAGCACTGTCCATCATAATTATTAGGAACTTCTTTGATTATGATGGTCAGAGAAGAGCTTGTGGAAATGTCATGGGCGCACACACTGAGTTACCTATGACTTCTTGTGATGAAATCACATGACTCTAGTGAAATTTTGGTATTGATGGTATATTTTGATGGGGAAAAAAAATCCAAACCTGCCGCCTGCTGCCTCCCCCCCCCACTTCCTTCCAACTTAAGCTGGGAAGACACAAGCATATCTATATATCTCTAGTGATAACCTGGCTATGACAGGCCATGTCTGTTACCTCTAGGCTGCTTTACGGTTATTTGGTCTCTCTTGACATGGCTAAGTTCAAAGTCCAACTGTTGCTTCATATAGCAACCAATCTTCTAAATCAGACAAGCTCAAGACAGTATATTAAACTAGTAACACAAGTCCTACATGACCTGCACTAATTGTTTAATTACTAAAGAATATGCCTCATAGGTCTAGCAATGATCTACAATTCACTTAATCTGGTAGAATGGGACTCTCTCAAAGACCATCTTCCAGACCCTACTGTGGCATCTATAATTGTGTTACATACTGTGACTAAGAGGACACAGCTGCAGAAAAGTAGAGCAATGGTTTTCAACCTTTTTAGGCTCGAGGAACCCTCGATAATTTTTTTGGAATTAGCAGCACCTTGGTTGAGAACCACTGGGCATCTTACTTGGTGTATGTTAACTCTACAGGGAACCCATTCCAGATCAGATTTAAGCCTAGAATGTGGGGACTGGGGGCAGGATTTGGCAATCTATTTCCTTCTCCCCATACAAGAAAAAAAGTCAGGCTGATGCCAGTTATGGGACGAGCATTTAGTATATAGTTCTCAACTGTCTGTCCCTTCAGAAAGTCATGCTGCTGCCAGGTGTTTTCACCCTTCACATCTCTGTTTCTATGAAGAGCCTGAAGAGTGGGAACCAGAAGGGCTGTGGTAGGAGGAGGGAGCTCCAGCCTGCACTATACTTATCTTGGTTTGGCCCTGCATATACCTCCTGTAAATAGGGATGTGCAGGGCTGCAATAGCAGTGCCAGTGCCATGGCACCTTTCAAAGGATCTTGTGGCACCCTGATTGAGAATCACTGAGGCAGAGCTTGTGTAAGACTCTGGAATAACCTCCCAAAGGAGACAGGGGAAAATCTTAAACTAATTATTTCAGGTCATGATGCAAGAATCACCTCTCCACTAAAGGACGCTACATGGGAATTGAGCGGAAGTAAACCAGTCCGACGAGAAAGGAGGGCAGGAACCAACTGTAGAGATTTATCCACAGAAATATGTGTGTGTGTGTGCGCGCGTGTGTGTGTGTGTGTGTGCATGTGTGTGTGTGGCAGGTAAAAAAATATTATAAAAATAGTGAGTGCTAAATAAAATTGATACATGCAAGATAAAATGAGCGTGGAAGAGATAAAGCTGACAAGTCAGTGAGTATATCTAGCCTTTAACATAGTATAATAAGAAGAAATAAGACATCTGTCCATAGTGGGTAAACTGTTTCCATCCACCGCAATAAAATTTACCATAGTGTTTCCTGTTTGAAGTGCAGGGAACACCAGTAACACAGTGCTAACTAAAAATGCTACTGTGATATAAATATCCCTGTATAGTTACACCTTCTTTATAACTGTGTTATGGAACTAGGAAAAGGACCGCTTTTTGTCTATTGTGAATATCACTTGGAAACATATTCTAGACTCAGAATAAAATGTGAAGCTTTCCACATTTAAGTTCTGCTCGTCTTTAATAAAATGCAAGCTCTGGGGTTACTGCTTGTTTTCTATTTTTAATTTCATCCTAGTAACAAAAAATAAAATCCGGTCATGCATTACTTTCAAGTAAGAGTCACAGTGATTTGTCTGGCATAAGCTTCCATTTAGTTAGAATACAGGGCTTTTCTCAGTAAATCAAGGATTTACATTCAATTATTTTTTTTGCTGAAGACAACCCTCACTGTCACTCTGACATCTCCTCTGCTCCTCCACCCCCACTGTCATGGTTAATGCCAGGGTTCATGCCCTGCTTGCATGATTCTACAAAGGAAGATGCCCATTACTAAGACAGCTATTTTGTATGGAGGGAATTAAAAGTACTAGTATTAAACTAACCAAACTAAGTTCACGTGAAGGAGCTTTGAAGTAGTAAAGTTCTTCTGATGTGTTTAGGAAACTCTACAATAATAAAAACTGTCCTAAAGTGACAGCAGTTAATTAAAATTTCACAGTATAGTTATTTACCTAGGGCAGGGGTGTGAAAGATACAGCCTGCGGGCCAGATGTAGCCCCACCATGGTGGGTTATTTGGCCTGCTGTCTTTTTCCACAGTTTCCCACCACAACTTCATCCATCCTGGCTCTTGACTATGCTCTGAATTGTGTGGCAGGGCTTCTCACTACTGTGACCAGAGCCATGGAAGAGGGGCAGGGAGCCAGGAATAGAGGAGTGGGGGCAGGAGTCACCTGCTCATGGGGGCCTCATCCTAGTAGTCTCAGTCCCCTTGTCAGCCTCATGCTAGTGCTGGGGGAGGTATTGGCAGATCCCTAATGCAGCTATTACCAACTTTACTATTCACAATAGTTGCTGGGTACAGGAGTCAGCGGCACTTGGTGACAGGGTGGCAGTAGCAGTAGTAGTGGGGCATGGGGGCAGGGGTCCATACATCTGCTGTCTTAATTCTGTGGCTGAGATGACACCTTGCCCTCAGCAGCACTGGTTATTTCTAAAAGCAAGATACTGGTTCAGGGCACAACCCCTAACAGTTACACCTCTGGTCCTTGCTACCAGGGCCAGAGCCCCAGCTCTTGCCTGCTCTCTGGCCATAGTGGCAGGACTTCTTGCTGTAGCTCTCAAAGGTCCAGACTTCTGGTAGGTCTGGCAGCACTGCAGATGGAGT